AATAAATTATGTAAAAATTCAGAAAGTAATAAAATATTATGAAATGAAATTTTTCACAATATATATTGAATTACAATGAAAACAATTAAATTCAAAGTAATCTAAAATAACAAACCTGAAACAAAATATGTTAAAATACTAGCTGTTGAATTTTGAAAGTTTGCGTTATCATTAAAAAATTTAGCATTGAACTTCGAAGGTTTTCAATAACAAAATAATACATATCGAAATTTAACCATTAAATTTTGATTTCGAAGGGTTGCAACACAATCGATAACTTCGAAATCTAACATTGCAATATAATTTCAAAGGTTTTTGAATTAATATAATTACTGATGAAGGATACCATATAAGAATGAAGGATGATGTACAGAGGATGAAGGATGAAGTACAAAGGATGAAGAATGAAGTACAAAGGATGAAGGATGAAGTGTAAACAAAAGAGAAAGTATAAATATGACTGTTATTGTGAGTAAGTTAGTAAATTAGTTAGTCAAAGTCAATTAGTCAGTTAATAACAGTCACAAGTTAATCAGAAATTAATTAATAATTAGAAATAATTCAGAATAATTCAAAATACTTTAATAAATATTGAATAGAAAAGTAAACTTCCTTTGATACTTTATTAAAATATAAAATATAAAGTTTTTAAAAGTAAACTTATATTTTGTGTTGTAATATTGTGAAATACTATTAAATACTGTTTGATACTGCATTACTACTTTTACTCCACCTTACTTACTGTGGCTTCATGATTAATTGATTATTATTTGATTATTATTATTATTTATTATATTTATTATCTGTTTTGAGATAGGCCAGTTAAATCAATTGTATTAGCTGTGACCTACTGGCAGATAGAGCATATTATTATTTGTTTGTGTGATGCAAACTGAGAGACTGATTTGAGAAATTGTTTGAAATACTCTGCACTCCTATGACAATGTGAATAAAAATGAAAAAATAAAAATGAAAATATGTCTTTAACATTAATCTTGAGTGTTCAAATGAAAAGAAAATATTTTTCAGGCATTTGAAGAAGGAAATACTGATGGACAGAATAAACTTGGCTATTATTATCTCCTTGGCATTGGAACTATAAAAATGATGAGAAAGCATTTCAAAGGTACTTAAAGGTGTATAGATTCATAATAAATGAAGTTAAATTCCTAAATTTAGAACACATTATTTAAATAAAAATAAAAAATTTCATAATATTTTTTTTTTACTGTACTGATTACAATAAATCAAAATTTCATCCCGATAGGATCATAATCAATGATTATTTCTATTAATAACATTGATCAAAATTTAACAAATAAATATGATTTATTACCGTCAACTTGTAAACTGACCTGAATTCTTGTATGAGAATAATATGTAGTATGAATTCTCAAATTAAGTATTCTTATTTGTTATCACTAATAAATTAATTATTCGTAAATCCATTAAATTTAATAAATAATGTAATAAATAAAATAAAATTTAAAATAATAATAAATTGAATAAAAATTATTTACAAATATATTACTAATTAGAAATATTCTTTCGATCTTTTTTTTCGGTGTAATTGACAGTTTTATTTGTCAAAAATTAAAAATTCATAACGGTTAATTTTTTTTTTTTTAAAAAAAACATCGATTAGGGCAGCAGGAAAAACTTTATCACAATTAATTTAAATTCGTATGGATTCGATTAATGATTGACAAAGTATCTAAAACAATTATTATTGTATTTTCATTAAACTGTAAATCTGAAAATTTCTATTTTGTATAGAATTATAGTTAGATATTTTTAATTTAACATTAATAATTTTATTTTATTCTTAAATAGTAAAATAAGATCCGAATTTAATATCCAACTAAAATACTGTAATATTACATTACGTTATTTCATAATTGTCTAATTCAGAGTTGATTGAAATTATTTAACCAAAAAAGTGAATTGTATTTGATTTTGGTTTTAGCGCATTCTTATTACGAAATTATGAAACAATGAATGATGATTATTAATTAATATAGAAAATTATGTGGTAATGATGTCCTAATTCAGAAAAGGAAATATCAACAATAGGATTAGCAAAATTTTATTGTCGACTAGGTTGATAAATTGATTTCCATAATTTTTTTAAATATTTATAAATCAAGAATTTCATTGTAAAAAAATAAAAATGTTCGATAATGAAATAATTCCAAATAAATTTGTGATTTCTTTTGATGGCAAAGGATTAGATATTATTACTGGAATCCCTTACAAAATTTCGAATAATGGAAATTATATAGATGAATGGGGCGGAAATCATGGTTCAACTCCTCACCTTTCTTCTGAAAACCATCCTCCTGGTCATTCCTTTTATTCAAGACAGTTATGGTTTCTCGTGGAATCTTCATTTAGAAGAGGATACAAAATATTTTCCAATGGAAAATATTTGGATAGTTGGGGAGGTGGCAATGATTCAAAACTCTACATAAGTTCAACTGATCATCCTCCAGAAAATCCCTGTTATTTACGACAAATTTGGTCTTTTTACTCTGAAAATAATAATTCCAAATCTAAAGTATTTCAGATTCATAATGAAAAGAATAATTGTTTCATAGACACATGGGGTGGAGGTGGAGGCTCCAATATTAAACTTTGTTCTCACTTTAATATTCCAACGGATGTACATTATTCAAAACAATTATGGAAGTTTATCCGAGTTTTTGATTATAAATTAAATGCTGTGATTAGCAATTTCGATTATAAACTTTCTTCGGATAAAAAAAAACAACCAAAGAAGAAAACTATTTGTGAGAAAATTATTGATAATTTAACATCTTCAACTAAGCTTACCGTAGCTTTTACTTTTCAAGAAGAGTTAACAAGTAAATTCAACTTTAGTTTCAATGAATCTTTGGAGTTTATTTCAGAAACAAAATTAAATACTGTTATTCCCTTTACTGATATTGAGAAAGAATTTAATTTTAGACATAATTTTGAAGCTAATAAACTGACTACTACTGAAAAATTCACCACAACTAATACAGTAGAATTAACACCTAAATCTTGTGTGAAATCTACTAATCATTATGATTTTATGGAAAATGTTGAAATTCCTTTTGAGGCTACTATAGAAATAACAGTCATAGGTGACCGTTTAAAGAAAGATGGTAAAATTGTTAAGAATACCAAACTTGATGCAGATGCTGTTAAATTATTTTTGAGGGAAAATAATTTCCGTGGAAAAATAATTAGATCTGAAGGAAATTATGTTCTAGCTAAAGTGCATGGAATTTTTCATGGTTCATACGTCCTAAGGACTTATCAAAAATTAGAAGACATCAAATTATAATTTATAATATATTTTAGCAAATTTTTTATATACCCACTTAATTATTATTAGGTACTGGAATCAAATAAAAAAATTAGATTGAAAAAAAAGTGCTAAAACATTAAATATTATGTACATGAATATAGTAAATGGTTTTCAGCGGATTTATCATTTTACTCTCCGTATAGAAATTTAAGATCCTATAACTCTTTTAAATAAACTGTGTATGTATGCTTTTAATTATATTTATTATCATCTATTGAAAACATAAACTATTGTTTACTTTTCTCTAATGTATCGAAAATAAATAAAATAAAATTATAATTTTGTAAATGTGATTTTTTTTTCTTTATTTTCCTGAAAATGAAAAATAAAAAAAGAATGACAATAACAAATTTTCTATACACATATATATGTATATTTTGAAAGAGAGAAGATCGAATTCATTAATTTAGTGACGAAAGAGTACCCTGCAGATTTATTATTATTATACATAACTGTTAACAAAGAATAACACATCAACACGCATACAACACATTCTATTTACTTTCATAAAAATTTCACGAATTAACTCATTATTACCATCTCCACTTTCAGCATATTTTCTATTTATGCAGAGAACAAAAGAATAAATTTGAAATAAAATAAATTTGAATAGATTTTAAATGTGTTGATTTGCTAAGCATGTAATTAGTGTTGATCATTATTTTATTTGTTAATTTCTAAAATTGAAATTTATTATCATTATTTTTATGAACATCAAGTTATTGTGTCCAACTATATTTTAGAATAATGCACAATAATTACAAATACGTACTTCATAATTGATGATCTTACAGGTTTTTCATAATAATAGCACACCACAAATACAAAGATCATCTAACATTGAATATTTTATCTGAATTAGGAATATTACCATTTTTTAATAAGAAAATGAAAATATCTTTTTGTTTCCGTTGGTATTTTATTTTTATCTCATGCCAACAGATTATTTCATCTATTCCCGCAACTTCGAATAAAACAACTTGTCTTAATCTTAATTATAGCATCCGAGGATACAATAGTAATTCATCGTCAAAATATTAATTGATTTTTCGTTTATTATTCGGAGTAAATGTGAAATTTGCATTTCTTACATAGTTATTTTTAATCTAATCAATTAAATTTTTTTTTTAAAAAAAAACTTTGGGATTGAACTTATTTTCCAGATCATTTAATATAATGTTATGAAACTCAGAATTTTACTTTTAGCAAAATCGCCCCACAATTTTTGTTTAGTAAAATTATTAGAAGTCTGAAAGTTTATCTATATATATCCCTAAACATATATTAATTAAAAAAATTATTCTGAAAAATATAGAATATTTATTACCTTTACAACTTTAAATTATGTATACTGGATGTGTACAAATTATTTATAATTTTTTTTTTTAATTAATTGTTAATGCTCCGATTGATAGACGGATTAACAATTAAATATTTGTTTTAATATTTATTTTATTATTTGTTTATTTAATTTGACACATGGAGTAAGTAACTTGTTTGGGAGTTTATCTTTGAATATTATTTATATTATTTTTATATATTTTTATTGAAGAATATAAGTATCAATATTCACATTCTTAGGATTTTATAGTGTTGGAATTATTATTTGAGCCTATAAAAAAGAATTAGCTGTCGATATTTTCAACATATTAACATATTAGTAGATGATATTTTCGATTTATATTATATACTCGTCAATACTGTAAGTTTTACTCAAATTGTGAATAATTAACAATTTACATCTCTTTACTTTTCTCAATGTCTTTACTGTCTTTATAATATCTCTTGTCTTGCATAAGTTAAAAATTTGTTTCTGTAAAAAAAATTTTTTATTTCTGAATTTACGTTTCGATTTAATATGCAAAATGAAATTTTCTTGAACTTTATTTATCTGTTATATAATAAATCGTTAAATCTCTATTTAATCATTACAAAAGTTAAAATATTAATAATATTAATCTAGTTGTGATAATCCGAGCGGGGTAGAAGAATTGAAAAAAATCTAAAATTATTTATTACTATATTACTATTATTAAATATAATATAAGTTGATAATTTATCTTATACATTCTCTATCATTACATGAATAACTTCAACCAGCAAAAGGCACTGTTTCAATAGGATTACCGTCAAGGCGGACTGTAAGAGTTCTCCCAGCAAAAGCTTCTATTCCTCGATTGTAATCAAATTGAAATGCTGCAGTTCCAGGTGGGCTAATTAAGGATTGAGGAATTCTTTGAGGAGTTATAGTGTTGGGCCCGGAAACTACCAATTCATATACGCCATTGGGATTATTGATTCCTGTATTGAATTGTCCCCAAAATCTAACAACTCCGGGTTGAAATTCATAAACATTGACTCTACCAGAAAGGATCGTGAAATCTGCGTATACGCCTTGGCCGACAACACGAGGTGACAATTCAATTGGAGAAGCATTCGTAAAGCAGATAAAGAATAAGGTTAACGCAACCAAGATAGTTGAGAATGTGATTTTTTGATTCATTTTTAAATGTAAAAAATTTTAAAATTTTAAAAAATATATATTAAATATTATAGATTTTTTTAGTAACGATATTTTTAAGAATAATGAATTTGAATTGAATCTTGATTGTTGAATTTTTGGGAACAGGAAAATGGTGTTCTTTTATAACAAAATTTCTCGTCATTTTTGGTGTCATTGAGAAAGAATCCCGTAGTCATTTAAAAAAAGAAAATGTCATTGAGTCATTGAAAAAAAATTTTTCTCGTCTTCTTGAATGCCATTGAGGAAGGATATGAATTCGATTGTTGCTTGTTTATTTTAATTTGCAAAAAAAAAAAAAAAAAAATTTACAATTTCAAAATTTATAAGAACAAACATAATTTCTTGCCAAAATGGAGTAATAATAAATTTGTTCATTGAAAGATGCAGCTCTGTTATGCAACAAAACCTTTCTTATAAAAGAATAAATCTGAAACTTTTAGTTGCATATTGCATTATATGAATGAGTTTTTTGGCAATTTTTCAATTCAATCTCGGTATGAATATACATGAATTCGACCTTCCAATGGTTATATGCTTTGTTTGCTCAATTATTTAATTTATGGTAAACATTGTTGTAGATTATTTTTTAATGCAAAAAACTTTTCGTGTTGGCGAAAAAAATGTTTGGGAAATGGGCAAAGAAGTGAATGAAGAAAATATGTTTGGGTAAATGTTTAAATAACATATTCTTTTTAAATGAGAATTTATTTATTTAATCATTTATTAATTACAGTTGGGCTTAAAAATTTTTTTGTATATCTTTTTTTTTTATGAATTATAATCACTATATGATGATGGTTTATGGTTCCCAGTCAAAAAAAAAGCTATCATTTGGCTAAAAAATTTTCTTGTATCACCTTTCCTTTCTGAGTTACAAGTTGTTGTAATGTTTGATGTTTTTATGCTGTCCCCAACTTAAAATTTATTTTAATTAATTAAATTTTATTGGTTATTATTTATTCAATTTTTTTTAGAATAAATTAGAATAAATTGCTGAAAGAATAACAAATTTGGTTCTTAATTAATAAAAATTATGGAATTGGCACCAAAATTTGATAATTTATTTGAAATTTTTATGAATGATATCGACCAGGTAATAAAATAATAATATTCATCAAAAAAATATTTCTCTTAATGACATCAAGTTATTATAGTTTAGTGGCGGTAGCCATACCTCACATTCCACTATTTCTTAGTAATATTATTAATCAAATTTAATTTACTAAAACTCGAGGAATGCATCGTGGCTGAAGAAGCTTTACCTATAATACTTTCAATTGCGTCATCTTGTTTTAGTTTGAAATATTTGATAATCGCTGAACGAATAAATTCTTTGGGATCAATAACAGTATCTACTTTGAAGCGATCGAAGAGACCGGAAAACGATTAAAGATCGAAATTATTGCTGGTAGGTTAAATTTTTTTTTTTTTTTTAATGATAAATTTTTATATTATAATCTTAAAATCAAAATATGTTAATTTTTAACCTAATCAATTAAAAAAATTTTTTAAAAAAACTTTGAGATTGAATTTATTTTTGAGAATATTTAATATTATTCTTATGAAACTCGGAATTTTACAAAATACCGATAAATATTATCAATTAGCAAATTTTTAGAAAAATCGCCCCCATAATTTTTTGCTTAATAAAATTATCAGTTAGAAGTCTGAAAGTTTATCTATATATATCCCTAAACATATATTAACTAAAAAAAATTATTCCGAAAAATATAGAATATTTATTGCCTTGAAAGCTCTAAAATCTACAAAAAAATTACGTAACATTAAGAAAATTTCATCGTTTTTGTTTTTTTTAATAATAAACAACTCTACAGAAACAAAATTTGAAAATCTGCTCCGCTCTTAAATTATGTATACTGAGTGTGTACAAATTATTTATTTTCAAATTAAAATTTTTTAATTAATGCTCCGATTGGGATTAAAAATTAAATATTTGTTTTAATTTTATTTGTGACACATGGAGTAAGTAAAGTTTATCTTTGAATATTATTTATATTATTTTTATTGCAGAATATTGTGAATTGAATAAGTATCAATATTCACATTCTTATGATTTTTATAGTGTTGGAATTATTAAGTGGGTAATTTCTAGCCTATAAAAGAATTAGCTGTTGATATTTTCAAAATATGTATTAGTAAAGTAGGTTCAAATGTTATTTTCGATTTATATTATACATATATTCTCGTCAATACTGTAAGTTTTACTCAAATTGTGAATAATTAAAATTTACATCACTTTACTTTTCTTAATGTCTTAAATGTCTTTAAAATATTTCTTGTTTGTCTCGTGACCAAATACGAATTTATATTTAACTCCCATAAATTATATCAATAATTTCTTTGAATCATTTTTTCTTGAAAAATGTTTCGTGTCACGTGGTGGGCATGCATCATAAGATGCCACTTATAGTCCGTGTATAAGTCAAAAAATTTGTTTCTGTAAAAAAAAAAAAATTATTTCTGAATTTACGTTTCGATTTAATATGCAAATGAATTTTCTTGTACTTTATTTATGTAATAAATGCTAAATCTCTATTTAAATCATTACAAAAGTTAAAATATTATTGAAATTAATCTAATTGGGATGATCCGAGCGGGGATAGAAGAATAGAAGAAATCTGAAATTATTTATTACTACATTACTATTATTAAATAAAATATAAGTTGATAATTTATATTATACATTCTCTCTCATTATATGAATAATGTCAAATAACATCAAATATTATATTTTTTTTTATGGTCCTCCAACTAGAATGAAAGGTCTCGTTTCAACGACAACAGAAGGAGCAGGACTGGTACGGACGAGTGAAAGAGTTCTTCCGGCAAAAGCTTGTATGGTTAGATCGAAATCAAATTGAAATGCTGCAATTCCAGGTGGATAAATTAAGGCTTGAGGAATAGAAATTGTTCGAGTTGGAGTGCCGGAAACTCGTAATTCATATGTGCCAGGGGTGATTCCTGAATTAAATTGTCCCAACATTCTACATTTTCCGGTCTGCCATTCAGTAACAGTAGTTCTGCCAGTAGTGGGGGATAAGAAATCAACGTATACGACTTGACCGGCAGCACGAGCTTCAATTGGAGCAGCATTCGTAAAGCAGACAAAGAATAAGGTTAACACAACCAAGATAGTAGAAAATGTAATTTTTTGATTCATTTTTAAATTTGTTTAGTAACGATATTTTTTAAAAACAATGAATTGAATCTTGACTGTTTGAATTTTTGAGGACAGGAAAATGGTATTCTTTTATAACTAAATTTCTCGTCATTTTGGTATCATTGAGAAAGAATCCCGTAGTCATTTAAAAAAAAGAAAATGTCATTGAGTCATTGAAAAAAAAATTTCTCGTTATTCTTGAATGTCATTGAAGAAGAATATGAATTCGATTGTTGTTTGTTTGTTTTAATTTGCAAATTAAAAATTATAATTTCAAAATTTATAAGAACAAACATCTCCAAAATGGATTAATAATAAATTTGTTTATTAAAGATGCAGCTCTGTTATGCAACAAAACCCTTTTTTATAAAAGAATAAGTCTGAAACCTTTATGTTGCATATTGCATTATATATGAATGAGCTTTTTGGCAATTTTTAAATTCATGAATGTACATAATCCAACCTTCCATTGGTTGTATGCTTTGTTTGCTCAATTATTTCATATGTATGCATGTGTGGTAAATCAGTAGTACTATAATCAGATTCTGAAATTAAAGTTTAGACAAACGCGGTAACAAAGATTTAAAAAGTAAAATTAAAAATAAGTTTAATTAAAAATACTAAAAAAGTTAAATACAAATATAAATAAATTTAATTAAAAATACTAAAAAAGTAAAATAAAAATATAAATAATTTCATTGTTATTTGAAACGTGACGTGCATGTTACAACATGGTGAAGAAATTTTAAAATAAGTCACCGCTGGTTTATGTGTCAAATGATTTATCCTGTGAGTGATACGGCCATACGCTAAAAAAATTCTTTAAAAAATATTTCATTATTTTAACTTTACACAAAACGAATCACAAATGTCATGTGAAAAATCTGGCTAATCAAAAAACTTTTTCAACGTATATTATTATTAATTATCTAAATAATTTATTTTTTGATTCTATTTTTAAAAAATTTAGACTTAGTTCATACAAATTACTTGTTTCCAATGTACTACCGTAAATCCCATTGTACTATTGTCATCTTTTCTTGACTATAAACAGTATTATAAATTTCACTAACATATAAAATAAATATGCATGGCGTCGTTTGTAACACATTATCATATTCACTTCCATATAATTTTTTTTTTTCAAAACGGGCTAAAGTTTCCATGGAGATTATTTTTTTTTTTTTTTCAGAAAAACCAAAACTATTACATAGACACATGATTACACTAAAACCATTTATCCCTCTAACTGACCAGGACGCTTAACTACTGCCATGACCACCGATTTTTACTACCGCCACCACCCCTCCTTAAGACTCCAAAGTACCATTGCCTACTGTAATTTTGATAGAAATGGTTGCTATTTCAAGAACAAATCGTAAATCTACGTGCCAACATTTTTTTGTGCAACCTAATTTCACCGATCCAGCAATTCATCTTTTTTGCTTTCAATTCCGCTATAATAAAATAAAACCAAAAAAATAATATTAGTGAAAAAAAAAATTACCTTTTATTGATACAAAATATCATTTTTTTTTTTATTACGCTCCTGGTCAACCAATACTTTCATCATTTCTGAGAATTTGGATACCCTATTTCTTACCGTGATAAACTTCATATTGCATTTAGAGAAGGATTTAATGAAGTGCCAGTAGATGTCCTTGCAACTTAATAGGCTTGAAAATACAAAAAGAAAATTAAAAATCAAACAATTATTAAAGTATAAGTATATGCTGATGGTTCGAGGAATACAAAGGATTGGGATAGGTTCTGGGCAATTTTTTTTTTACTGACTAACAAGGTTCCCTTTTTATTCTTTTTTTTTGTGTGAAAGCGAAATGCTTCTCACAGTTTATTAATTATAAATATAAATTGAGGTCTCTTTATTAATAACCATAAAATTGCATTGTAAATATAAAATTACATATATAAAAATAAAAATTGGCATCACTGCCATCTAAATTTTGAAATGGATTTTAAATAATAAATTTTTACTATTTTCCAAGTTAGATCTAAGTTTTATATTTATGTCTTTTCTACTACTATTATACAATTTTTCCTTTTTCTCCTTTAATTTAATTAATAATTAAATTAATTAAATATGAAATTATATTAAATTAATTAAATATGGAATTATATTAAATTTACTATGTGATAGGGTAAAAAGCAATAAAGTTGACCCTTTGTATAACGTCTTCGTCATAAGAAAATTCGTTAAAACTATAACACAGACTAATAAAAATTCCTAAAAATACAGTGTACTGTATATAACGAATATTCTTAAAAATTTTTAAAATTCGTTATCCATAAAATCACGAGCGTGCAGCTTATAACTAATATTTTTAAAAAATTTTAAAATTCGCCTTATATTTTAGCTTCGTTATATTGAAAAAGGATTCATTATATCGAGGTGTAATTTAATATACATGTTCGCCAAGTTAACTTCGTATTACGTTATAGCACAATTTCTCAAGTAAATTCGGGCCAAACAAATATCAGTTATGTCAAGAAATTCGTTATATCAAAATTCGTTGTATCGAGGGTTGACTGTATAAGAAGCAATAGGATAAATTTAGAACCACGAAATCCGAGCTTCCGCACAGACCAAAATTATTAAAGTTTCCGAATCCCCAATAATGGTAGAAAAATAGTAAAAGGGGTTAACTGAGCAATCGGAAAGATCAAAATCTTCACAAACAAGTTTTATAGGGATATCTATTGGTACTTGTATCATGGTAATCAATAGTTTTACAAATTGTCTAGAAACGCTTGTCGACCAGGAATGGGAGAATCAGGTGATTTTTTTACATTAAGACTTCGCGCCTTCTACAATTTAACCACCAAGATTAGTTTAAAATTTTATTTGAATGTAATTGATGATAAACTTCAAAGTAAGTTCATGGTCCGTTTATAAGAAAAAGTCATTAAAATTTAAATTTTGGCGCAATTTATTCTTCTTTTTACATATTGTTTTTCTTAATGTTTTTTATTATTAATAAAGTAAAGCACAATTAATTTTTGATCATATAGAAATTCCCCAAGAAGAGATAATATATTTATTAAAAAGAATTTTACAAAAGTAAATCTGCAATGATGCATATTATTATTCTTCATCAAATTCAGATTCATTTTCTTCACTTCATTTCCTAAAGTTGAAATGGTATTTGAAACCGTAATGATGATGATAATTATTATTATAATAATTACGATAATTTTTCAGGTAATTAAATTTTTCAATAATAATAATAAATGCTGGTTAAAAAATATTATTTAACTAATAATAATAAAAAATATTAATTAATGATTATTTTAAATAAATGAAAAGAACAAACCAATTTCAAAAAATAATATTTATTCTATTATCATCATAATTATTCATTATTTATATATTTTTTTTCTTATTAATAATAATTTCTACCGTATAAAAAATATTCTATAATAATTATATTACATTACTCTAACATTAGGATCTTTCGACCAATAGGAAAATAGGGCAAATATCTGTCGTTAGGTAGTAAGTTAATGCAAGAACGTTGTTTAGGTTATGAATGTCCAAATCAATAATAGTTCGACAAATGTTTGACATTGGGGAAGTAAGAAATCTAGTTGTTTATATCTGTGTTTGTCACAGTGACGACATATGCTTCCCGCACTAACAATAATAATAGTAGTGGAAACAATGATATTATTAATATGATTCTAATGATGATGGTGATAATTTAAAATGAGAATCAACTAAATATTTTTTTTTTGTGAAATCATTAACTACATTTATTAATTAATAATATTTCTGAAAAAGAAATAGATAGATAAGCTAAGCTAATACAGCAAGCATCATACGTAGTAAAGGCATTTTTTTTTCAAATAAATAAGAAATATATTTCTTTAAAAAATAGAGAGTATATACGTATATGAAATTTCAAAATTCCTTTGTTGTATTTGAGTGGATTCTAATGTTTTCAATAATGATTGAAACAATTCAAATGAAACAATATTTTGACAAATCCAAAAGAATTCGATGTATTTTATTTGGAAGGTTTTCCATTTTTATGTTGGTATCTAAATTATGTGTGAATTGTTGGGATAATAAATAATAATACAAATAATAAGTATAAATAATAAATGTAATAATAAATTTAATAAATATATACATGTAAATATAATATACCAAATGTTTTTCAAGTTCGAGCAAAAGGCGTAACATCAATTCCGCAACCAACCAATATCGTAATTTCATTACGAAATATCTTCAGCTGGTGCACCATAAGATCCGCCAATTCTTAAACTAGGTAAATCATTGATAAAGGAATTCCTTTTTCACTATCACATCCTAATAATTTGGCTGATTTATTAACGTAAGGATCATCTGGGCTGAAGCAATGATAAAAGGGTACCATTACCAATTAGATATAGCGGGTTTATTTAAGAATAAATATTGTCCAGCTTTATAATGGAAAGATGGTTTATTAAATTGAATTTCAATAGCTCTTGAAGGATGAGATATAACTTTTGTCATTCAAGTCTCTTGTCGAGCTCCAATTTCTCGTAAAATACGTTTCAAGAAATAAATATTTCCAGGTACCACGGTAAATCTCCAAGAACGATATCCTTTACATTTTTCTTCAGCAGTTACCATCCATATCCATGAAAATAAAGACATAATATAAAGAATAAAGCTAAATGATTGGTGTAAGATTGATCACGAATTTTAGAATAACCAATTACTCCACCTCAAATTGCGTAATGAATTTCCCAAGCGGATTTTAATCTTAATTGATCTAATTTCCAAAAATTAATATAATGAGCAAAGGTGTGTATTAAAGTAAAGCATAAGCAGTTTGGAGATGAAACCAAAGATTTTCATCGAATGGAATTATTTAAAAATCTAAATGATCTAAAAAGTTTTATTAAAAGCACCATCCTAAGCTAAACAAAGACCAGCTCCATGAGAAGTCCAGACAGAAAGTCCAGTCCAATGGCATTTAAATTATCAAGTTCGCGATCATTTTTTGTTTAAAAAAACATGCATGAACAATCCTATATGAATTATCCAAAAAGCCAAACGTTTCGGAACGAATTCTCTTATTATAAAACTTGTGCCACTTTGTTGTAAATTTTGTATACGTTGACTGCACATATTTTTTATCTTGTATTTGTTGTAACACGAAAATATTTTTAAAGAAAAAATTAAGAAAAAGAAATTTTAATAAATTAAAATTTTTAAGAAAAAAAAGAATTTTTTAAATAAAATGAAATGAAAATATAAATATAGATAAGAATTTAAAAAATATGATGATATAAATCGTGTATGAAAATAATTTTCAAAGGACTACAATAATTCCAATAATGCAAAATAATCGATAAAAAATTTTTTCCTAACGAAAGATATTCCCTTTATACATGCATACAAATGTACACAAATTTTAATATATGTAAATTACAACAATCCAGTAGTTGTGATATATATTATTTTTTCATGGTTAAAATACATTATATTAATTATATATCTTATTATTAGTTATCAAAAAACTTCGGTCATGATCACCTTTTTAGTTCATTTTTCCTTAAAACTTTTTTTTGGGGGGATTAAAAGAATTCACTATCAATTATATAAATCAATTATTCCAACCAACCAAAGTAATATTTTAATATATTACACATTACCATAAATGTAATATATCAATATAATTAGTAGCCGCCGATTTTTTGAGAATCAGCTAAGTCGATCCCATATAGGGTAATCTTTTTAGCCAACATCGTATTATGTAACTCTACTATGGTATAATTAATCACATGATTTTGCATAACATATTATAAATTTAATTTATATATTAAGAAACTTTGGCTTTTAGTAGACTAAACCTGCTAATTCGATTTTAAAATATAAGCTTAGCCAAGCCGATTTTTTTAGACCGGCTTCAAACACTACTTTGAATTACTCCATTTGAGATCAAGTAAAATTTACCAAAAAAAATAAAATAATAATCGTGTAATGCTTAATGCGTGTAAGCCTAAAAAAGAATGAGATTAATACAACTGAATCTCCACTTTCAGCTGAATTCGATATATTTTTCATTTATGCAGAGAACAAAAGAATAAAATTAAATATTTATATAAATTCGAATGGATTCTAAATGTGCTATGTAATTATTAGAATAATAATGAATTTCAAGACGAACCAATTTTAGAAATTACCAAAATAATGATCAACATTAATTAACGAGAATTGTAAATTTCTTGTCTATAATTAAGAGCAATCATAATTGATGCATTCTGATGAAGATGATCTTACAGGTTTTTCATAATAATAGCCACACCACAGATACAAAGATCATCTAACATGAAAGATGTGGTCCATATTGATTTTGAACATTTTTGGATCTATTGTGAATTGCATATTTGAGATTTTTTACTTCGAATTAGGAATATTACTATTTTTTAATAAGAAAATGAAAAATATCTTTTGTTTCCGTTAATGTTTTATTTTTATACCATGCCAATGGATTAAAATCTGATAATTTCATCTGTTCCTACAACTTTTAATATGGCAGATTTTTCCAAAATATTGTTGCGCAAATCCATCCTGAGTTTTACGTAAGATTAATTCAAATTTATAAGAAATATTTATTAATGATAGTTAAAAAAAAGATTCTATTGGTTCTGGGTAATTTTTTTGTAACCCAAACTGATCTTGGTAACAAAATAATGGATTTTACTGGTCATATGCTGATCAATTTTATCCAAGATTTCGATACATGAAAGTGGTAAACATTGTTGTAGAGTAGTTTTTAATGTAAGAAAACTTTCCGTGTTAGTGTAAAAAAATGTTTGAAAGTGGACTAAGAAGTGATGGAAGAAAATATGTAACGTTTAAATGATATATTCTTTTTAAATGAGAGTTTAATTATTTAATTATTTATTAATTATCAATAAAAATTATTTAAATTAAATAAATATTAATAAAATTTATTTCAACTAATTTTATTGATAATTTATTTTTTTTTTTTTTATAAAAAAAAATAAATTATAATAAATGCTGAAAGAGTAACAAATTTTGGTTCTGAATTAATAAAATTTATGGAATTTAATTTATTTTAGAATTTTTATGAATAATCAACCAGGTAATAAAATAATAAAATAATAATATAGAATAGATAATTACAGATTTAGGTGAATTTTTTAATTTTATGATTTTTCTACACAAACTTACAAACATAATTACTTATCATCAAAAAATATTTCTCTTAATAGCATCAAGTTATTATAGTTTAGTAGCAATAGCCATACTTCAAATTCCACTATTTCTTAGTAATATTATTAATCAAATTTAATTTACTAAAATTCGAGGAATGCAATGTGACTGAAAAGAAGCTTTACCTATAATACTTTCAACTGCATCATCTTGTTCTAGTTGAAATATTTGATAATCGCTGTGAGTGAAGAATCTTATGAACGAATAAATTCTTTGGGATCAATAACAGTATCTACCTTTGAAGTGATTGAAGAGATCAGAAAACAATTAAAGATCGAATTATTGCTGGTAATTTAATTTTTTTTTTCTTAATGATAAAATTTTATAACTGAATTTAATAATCTTGTGACAATAATTACATTATAATTTTAAATCAAAATATGGTAAAAAAAACTTTGGGATTGAATTTAATTTAATATAATTTTTATGAAACTCGAAATTTTACAAAATACCGATAAATATTAATTATCAATTGGTAAAATCGTTCATCCTAAATATATATTAACTAAAAAATTATTCTGGAAAATATGGAATATTCATTTCCTTGAAAGCTTTAAAATTGTAAAAATTACGTAATTTAAGAAAATTCATCGTTTTTTGTTTTTAATGACGAACAACTCCATAATTAGAAAATTTAAAAATACCTGCTCCGCCCCTTACAAATTATTTATTTTCAAATTAAAATTTTTAATTAATGCTCCGATCGATAGGCGTTTTAGCATTAAATATTTGTTTAAAATTTAATTTATTTATTTATTTTATTTGTTTATTTTATTTATTTATTTAATGTTTGTTTAATTTATTTATCTTTAATATATTTATATTATTTTTATTGCAGAATATTATGGATTGAATAAATTTCAATATTCACATTCTTATGATATTTATAGTGTTGGAAAAGTAGTTTTGTATCCCCTTATTTTATATATTCTCGTCAATACTGTAAATTCTACTCAAATTGTTACATAAATTATACTGTATCAATAATTTCTTGAATCTTTTTTTTTTTTTTGAAAAATATTTCGTATCACATGGTGGGCATGTATCATAAAATGCTATTATTTTTTGAATCATTTATATTCGGTGTATAAGTCTGTAAAAAAAAAAATTTATTATTTCTGAATTCACGTTTCGATTTAATATGCAAAATGAAATTTTCTTGGACTTTATTTATGTAATAAATCGTTAATTCTCTATTTAATCATTACAAAAATTAAAATATTAATGATATTAATCTAATTGGGCGGGGTAGAAGAATAGAAGAAATCTAAAATTATTTATTACTATATTACTATTATTATTAATTAAAATATAATTTGTTAATTAATCTTATACATTCTCTCTCATTACATGAATAACAAATAAAGAATTACATCAAATATAAATTTTTAACCAATTTGTACGAAAGCTATCGTTTCAAGAATAGTAACAACATTGCTAACACTGGTAAAGCGGACTGAAAGAGTTTTCCCAGCAAAAGCTTCTATGCCTTTATTGTAATCCCATTGAAATGCTGCAGTTCCAGGTGGCTTGATTAAGGATTGAGGAATTACTTGAGGAGGTATAGTGCTAGCGGGTGGCCCAGAAACTACCAATTCATATTTGCCATTGGGATTAGTGATTCCAGTATTAAATTGTCCCCAAAATCTAACTGTTCCGGTCTTATATTCATAAACAGTAACTCTGCCACTAAGTTTTATGAAATCAGCGTATACGAGTTGACCGACAACACGAGGTGACAATTCAATTGGAGCAGCATTCGAAAAGCAGACAAAGAATAAGGTTAACGCAACCAAGATAGTAGAAAATGTAATTTTTTGATTCATTTTTTAATTGTAAAAAATTTTAAAAATTTTAAGAATATTAAATATTATAGATTTGTTTAGTAACGATATTTTTTTAAAACGATGTATTCAATGAATTGAAACTTGATTGCTGAATTTTTGGAAACAGGAAAATGTTGTTCTTTTATAATTAAATTTCTCGTCATTTTTGATGTCATTGAGAAAGAACCCCGTAGTCATTGAGTCATTGAGAAAAAGTTTCTCGTCATTCTTTTAGACATTTAAAAAAAAATTATCATTGAGGAAGAATGAATTTGATTATTGTTTATTTGTCAAAAAAAATTATAATTTCTAAATTTATAAGAACAAACATAATTTCTGGTCAAAATGGAGTATTAATAAATTTGTTCAATAAGATGCAGCTCTGTTATGCATCGAAACCCCTTTCTTATGCATTGCATTAAAATAATGAGTTTTTCGCGATTTTTAAATTCAATCTTGGCATGAATCCGACCTTCCAATAAATAAGTTTTGTTTGTTGTACGCATTGTTTTCTCAATTATTTATGTATGTAGTACGATTAAATGTTATAAGAAATTTTTTAGTGGATCTGATCCCTTAAACGGTAAATCATGTGAATTGCGGGCAAATTTGTCCGCGTTTATTAGTAACTTGTGACGTAACTACTGTTTAAGGGATAATAAATTATATTATATTTTTTTAATAAAGTTGCATGAATCTAGTATTACCTCATCACAAATTTTACGAAATTTCCCCCGCTTTTGTTTAATAAATTTAATAAATTTCACTGATTGGTGACTGGAGAGTACGAATTAATTAAAAAATACTAAAAAAGTAAAAAAAGTAAAATACAAATATCAATAAATTTAATTAAAAATACCAAAAATAGTATAGTACAATGTTATTTACGGTAGTACATTGATCTTATATGCAGGGTTGGGATGAACTTGTGTTTATATTAAAAATAGAATTATTTATATTTTTATTTACTTATAATATTATTAATAATTTATTACATGCAGTTTGAATTGTTATTTGAATTGTTTTAATTAAAAATCTTTTCTTGATCATATATTACGTAAAAATTTCATTCTCATCATCTAAGGAAAGAATAAAATAAATATGCATGGCGTCGTTTGTATCACATTGTCATATTCATTTCCATGATGTTGAATATAACTTTTTTTTTCTAAGTTGCTTTGGTGCTTTTGGTTTTTTTTTAGTAACTGCCGATAAAACCATAATTATTACCAAGACGCGCGATTACACTGACCATGACACTTAACTACCACCATGACAACCAATTCACTAGCACCACCACCCCCACTTAAGACCTCTAAAATATCGTAATTTATTTTAAGAACATCGTCTCGTCTTTTGTAAACCTACGTGCCAACATGGTTTTGTGCAACCTAATTTCATCGATCTAACAATTCGTCTTTTCCACTTTCGATTCCACTATAATAAAATAAAGCTAGAAATAATATTAGTGAAACTAACCTCTAACATAAAAGCGGGTGAGAGAATCGATACTTACAGAAGTTTTTGGAAATTTTCACGTGAGTTGAATCATTTACTACGACTTATCGCAAGTTGGTCACAAAAAATTACCAGTAATGTGCAAATATTTTTGGGAAACAAATCTGACGAAATCCTCAAATAGCAGGAAAATGTTTGGTTGAGAAATTAGAGAAAAGGGATTAAAGGTCTCAAGATACCGTTGGAAGGTATCTTCATAATCACGCTTATAAAAATTCTCTCTCAATTGCTTCACCTATGCTTACAGTAGAGTATAATCGAAAAGATTGTTCACATACTTTATTTTCCGATGAAATTTCACTTCAGTTGTTCCGAAACACTATAAATTTCGAATTATCGTTCAAATTCTTTAAGAACAACTTCCTGAAGTAAAAGAAACAATTGATTGACAAATGTATAATGATCCAAAACATAAAAGTCATTTAAGAAAAAATTTTCCTCAAGAAAATTTGCCCGATGTAATGGATTGGCCATCCAATAGTCCAGTTATCATTCCAATTGAAACCTTGTGGGGTTGATGAAACGGAATTTAGTCCATGCAATTTAAAAGATTTGGAAGAGTTTATGATTGGAGAATGGAATTAATCTATGATGAAATTATAAGTAATTTGGCAAATTCAACGTGAAGTTATTAGAGTAAATGGAGAAAGAATAAAATTTTAATTTAATATAATTTGAAACTTATACTTTTAAGTAAATAAATCATTCGTTGATACAATTATTATTCATCAAGTAAAGTTTTCCGATCCCTACTGTATCTGTTCTGCGTTATATCGAAACCGAAAAAATCTCAGCTCGTTAACAATAGATAATTTATTCTTTACAATCGTTACGCAAGTAAAATTGACTTGAACAGCCTTATTTTTCACTCCGCTATTCACTATTTTAGTTCATTTTCATGTTTTTCGCCAATAATCAATTATATATTTTCTTTGTGTCTATAGATCAATGATCGCTGTCATAAACGAAGATCCGTACATTGGCGAAACTAGCCTTAATTTATTACCTTGATTTAGTACAAAATCTAGAGGAGAATAGGGTAAGAAATAATTTATTATTAAAACGCTCACTCAATAAATCAAATATTCAACCAAACAATTAATCGATTTATCAATTCTAAAATGCAACTCAATTTTTCCGATAATTTTTTATTTGCGATTTTATTGTCATAATTTCAATCCGCAATCGGGGAAATAAATTTTATTTGTAATAGTGCAAATATACTACATATCAATAAATTATACTTTGGGGTATCATAAAAACTGATACAGTGCATAGACACTTCATTGTAAAGCAATAATATTACTATCAATAAAGTCATATTCGTTCCGTTCTTTCCGATCATAACTATTCTTTCTATCCGTTTGGAAGTATTGTCAATTCATATTCGAATATGGGCATGCTTATTGGTATCACAAATTAAATTTTTTATCTAGTGGCAAGTGCCTTGAGCACGTTGAAGTAGGTATACGTATATAGCAAATATTTTGATAGCATGTAGTCGATATGAGACCTAGTAGTATATTTCTTTCATTGACAACTACATCGAGTATGTCGAAATTGGTATACGTATATAGCGTATATTTTGATAGCATGTAGTCGAAATGTGACTTAGCAATGTATATGTGCGTAATTCTTTCATTGACAACTACCTCGATATGTGACCTAACAGTGTATATGTGCATAATTCTTTCATTGGCAACTAAATCAATGAATTTGAATGTTATTTTGCTATAAACTTGTATTTCAATTGATACATACAATACATACAAAGATGACCAATAAAATTCTTTGATTTCGGTTTGTTTATCATCTTGTGATCATTAAAATATCATAAAAATCAAGTATAAAGTACGTCTACGTGCCAACTCGAGAATGAATCCATATATTCAGAACTTAGTTGCAAGTTCTCTCCCCCGCTTTCTCACTCTCTCTCCCTCTCTCTTTCTTCCCCTTTGCTATAAAAGCGATCCTACAGGATATCTTTTCCTAACCTAACAATAAAACATCGACATGGCGTTCAATTCAACTTGTTTTATAATCATTCTAATTATATGCTTGATCTCTACTGGTACGGAATTAAAAAATATCTCAATCTTTTATGTCGAAGTAGGTTTTGTTCCTAATCTCTCTCATTTTTATTAGCCGTTGCATATGATAGAAAAAGTGCAAGTAGCTACGCAACCGCTCATTGTAAGGAACACAACCCGAATTACCCTGCATTCCCATCAGATTGTACGAATTTCGCTTCACAAGTATTAAGTGCTGGTGGAATTCCCCAAACAGAGGAATGGCATTGCCGTAATCCATGCATCAAGAAGTTATGTTACGGAGATTATGATGTAACAGTAAGCTGGATCTCTCAATTTTTTCTACACGTATCTCATTAAAAATAAAATTGCGAGAGTATGCAAACTAAAAGATCTACGGCCAGGTGATTTCATACAATATAAGACGGGTTTCTTTCATCATACAGTTGTAGTTGCTGAAAGTCATCCTACGAATCCTAAAGTAGTTTATCACACTAGTGACAGATGTGACGGCAAGCATTCTTTTTTTAAGAAAGAGAAATATCGAGCTCTTTGTATTAATTAAACGAAAAGAATTACTCGAGCATATTCATTATTATTCTATTCATAAATTTCTATTTTATTGAATTAATTTTCAATAAAACCGTTGCGTAAATCGCATACATATAACCTAATAAACTTTACCTGATAAAAGAATACTTTCTTTAATAAACTTACTAAGTATTTAGTAAGAACAATATAAAACGCAAGTGATTAATTTCTGTTCTGAGAGTTGTTATTGTATCGGCGAATTCATCAGACCATTGCAAAATCTGTAACATAAAAAATTGTGATGTCGTTTTAAATCTTCTTTTACAAAACAAACCTTGCTCTGTGCAAAATTGTAATCTTCAACAAGATCGTTATATTCAATTTGCTTCTCTAGGATAACATAAAGCTCAAAAAAAAAGGAAATTATAAAACTTATCCATAATTTAAAGAATTGTTATCTCCATTATTTGTGCATAATTGAACCCGATCCAAAAATACCAGGTAGTTGCCCTAAGAACCCCGAAGATGCAAGTACATGTGGTTTGTAGTACCTTTCTGCAGAATTATTTCTTATGGACGATTTTTTCCAACGTTATATAGCTTTTCCCTTTACTCTTTATGATCCAGCGATAAGAAAAGCACGAATGAGGTCCATAAATGTTATATGGGAATGAATTTATTATTTTATCAATGGTTTTATCAAAATTCATATGTTGTGAGAACTTGGAATTTCCTAGATCGTTAAGATCGTTGACTTTTTCACTTTGTAGGAGAGATCGCTGAATCTAAGGGGGTTTAGTTTCACTAAAAAAGGGTGAACTAGACTTTCTTTATGTAGTGGGATCTGGTATTGTGTTAAGGAAATGTAATTATTAAACATATTATTTCTTATGACTGGGTCACAGATCTAGATCTGAAGGATCATTGCTACATAATGCAAATGTAAAGTATAAAGATAAGCAATTTTTACTTGTGAAGTGAGTAAAATTGTTCATATGTTTTTTCAAAAAAAAACTTGCATATTTATTTGCATTTTATGACCATCACGTTGCCTAAAGAACCTGAAAAAAAATTATTATCTATATTCAGGGATTACGGCGCAAGCGTAAATACTGTTGACTTGATAGACCATATACAATTAATATTGACGTATAGAAAAAATATCAATTTTTCAGTGCTGGATAGTTTTACTTCTGTATCTTTAACATGTTGAAGTTAACAAACATGCAGAAACTAGATACTAAAGTATTCCGTTAAAAGATTGGTTGAATATTATGGATAAATTGTATTTTAAGAATAAAAAATTTCAAAGGTAAAATATATTAAAGTTGTGATTAGAAATTTTCAAGAAAATCTAAATTTTATATGTTGTTCCACTATAATCTGTAATAATTGCTTTTTCAAAGGTGAAACTATATCTGAGCTAGAAATAATTAGAAATAGAATATAACACCATCTTCTAATTTTTCCTTGTCCTTACAATTTTTATTTACAAGAAATTTATTCCTGAAATAGGCTTTAGTTATTTAATGAGAATACTGATGAATACGTTATCCACATCATCGTAAAGTATGTAGTAGAAAATAATTAAAATTTTTTATTTATTTGTATTTGCACTTTGTAATAAAATCCAGAAATACATAGACTAATGAATTTAGCCACCAGGGCTTAACTTTATTGATATGATAATAATATTTATGATAAAAAATATTTTGTGATATAGTAACTTTTAGACTTCAATGTGTATTACACGGTGGATGGGATAATGTCTGATCCATTACTTGTACAAGTAAATTCTTATTCATAATTATAATATTTCTTTAGATCAAATAGCAATCTTATAAGAAATTTTGTAAAAGTTATTTTGTTTTGTCTTAATGCATTTATCATTAATTTTCATCATATTTGCTTTGAGAGAGAGAGAGAAGGTAGTAACAGTGTCTGATGACTTTTTCTTTTTCAACGAATTGCTTAACAGAAGTCTCTCTATTTAAAAGTATTTTCTTTTTAAATTTTTTCTTTTTGTTAAAAAAAAAATAGATTGCAAATAAAGTTGTCTCTTTAAATTTTCATTTATATTTTGTTATCCTAACAAATTTATATTCAAATATTTCGTACTTGAATTGTCTGCGCGAAATTTTCATTCTTTTCATTTGTTTTGATCATTACCATTCCTGTAATAATAAAATAAACAAATTAAGAGTTACAATAAATAATAGTTAATTATTTTAAAATCACAGAGTTGATACAGTGCTCGTGTAAAACAAAATAACATAAATTATTTATCCATTATCAAATTAGCTGACAAAGTAATGTGTAATTTTTTTTATATTTATAGGAAATTTATTTAATTATGATAGAGAATTGCGAATTCCTTTTTTGGTATTGATAGAGAATTTAGAATTTCTTTTTGGTATTGATAGAGAATTGCGAATTCCTTTTTTGGTACTGATTATACCAATTATGTCGATTCAAAAATCATACCATACGAAATGACTTTATTGTATGATTCATGAAAATTTTATGAGCTGATTATAAAATTATGAGCTGACAATTATCAAATTTTTTCAACATATAAAGGAAAAGTAAATTCTTACCCAATTCTTTACTAACACTCTTCTCCTACTAAAAATACTAAAAGAATGTCTTCATTCACAGAAGATGCGATTCTCGAAACCAATCATGATGCGGATTCACCAAATACGGTCACTCGTGTTGTGGTAATTGCTATTGATCAATCAAACTATAGTCACTATGCATTTGATTGGGCTGTAAAGAACTTTTTGAGAAAAGAATCTGATTTGGTTGGTAAAATAACTCTATATTTCCATTTATATATAATTACAAATTTTTAAATTATATCTTTTTTTTTTAATTTTTTTTTTAATTTAAAAGGTTGTATTATTAAATGTTCGACCAATTTCAGGGATTCCTGTTCCCTACGGTAATAAGATTTTAATACATATTATTAAATTAATAATAATAAATAAAAAAAATTAAACAATTATAATCCTTTACAGCTGCTGGCCCCAAATATCCGGATTTAAATGAAATTCTTATTACTTTAGACAGTCAGGTATGTATATACAAATTATTCAAATTAAATTATTTATTACGCTATATTCATTTAATACATCGTATTCTTAAATAATATTTTTTTTAATGTGGTCGTTTTTTAATTAATTAATTAATTAATATTATTTTAGAAAAAACAAGAGAGTCACGCTCTTCTGCAAGAATTCGTGTCAAAATTAAAGGCTGAAAAGGTAACATTTTAGATATCAATATTTTTATATCTATCTTATTATTTTATTTATTTTTATATTTATTTCTATATTCTTTGAATTTTATTTTAGTTTACATATAAAGCAATAGCCTTGCAAGGAGATGCTCGTGAAGAAATTGTTCGAAAAGTTTCTGAATTAAATGCTGATGGTTTAATTATTGGGTCTCGTGGCCTGGGAGTCATAAAACGGTTAGTTTTATTTTCACTTTTCCAATTATTAAAAATTACTAATAAAAAAAAATTTATCATTAAAAAATTTATTATTAAAAAATTTATTATTAAAAAATTTATTAAAATTTTTTAGAATGTTACTCGGCTCTGTGAGTGATCATTGCATTCATAATTGTCATTGTACTGTAATAATTGTTAGGGAACATACGGAAAAAAAGTCAGCATAAAAATGTATAATGGATTTATAATATAGTTTTTTTTTTTTTATATATGCTTTTTTATATATATTTTTTATATGGTTAAATCTGGGACAAAAATTAAATGTTGTTTAAAGGTCAAAATCAAAAAAATTCGCAAGTTGACAATTATTAAATACCAACAGTATACAGTTACTCGACTAGATGGATCGAAAGTATAATAATTTTTAGATTTGTAATGGAATTTTTTATCGTCGCAAATTTTTTACTGTCACATAAGATTAGTAATGGAAATTAAAGTTGACGTTTAAATAATATTTTGAAATTTCATACCTCTTTTTTCATTTTGTATTATTATTTCTTTAAATACTCTTAATTTATAATTAATAAAATTTATATAAATATTAAAATTCTAAATAAATATTAAAATTCTAAATAAATGATTCTTTCATGTTGATATAAAGCTATAAAGGATTCGCACGTCTGAGTGATGCAATTTATGGATGTAGAAAAACAATTATGATTTTTTTTTAATAAATATAAATGGTCCAAAAAAAGTATTTTTCATTAATATCTTGGCCTAATCTTCTAAATTACAAACGGATAAGATAGATAATAATTTCCAATGTTATGATCTATTTAAAAATTGTTTACATTATAAATATATTCACAAACATCGGAAGGATTAAGTTGTGCTCCGATCTCCCTATCCTCATTTTCTTTGGTTTCTATATCACTCTCTTTCATTTTTATATATCTCTCTCTTCCGTTTCTTTTCTTTTCTTTTTTTTTAAAAAATCCAATGGAGTCTTGCTCCAATAAACTTTTATTAATAAATTAGGTGTAAATTTTAAAGGTACATATAATTTATTTTACATTTATTGAAACTGACTAAAAATAACATTTTACGGTCCGACTCATCATTACCTAAGTGTAACCTCAGGAACTGATGGCCAAAATCCCATCAGATATAATTATTATATGTATAACTATAATTATTATTATATTTGCATCCTAAGTTAATCCACATTCTAAATTTATGTATCATGTTCTTTTCTATT